AAAGTATTAAGAACGAATCTCGCATCTTTTTCCAATATATGAAATGGCCAACCAGTAAAGAACAATTTGTTCTCACTTATTATCTTGTAGTATTGAGTTTCTGTATTGACTCTGTGATATTCTTTCTTTTTCATCTGCTTATTTTCTAAGAATAAGCCTTCCATTGATCCTATTACTTTCTTCCTATACTTATATCCACCTACTGCTAATCAAAATTCGTCCTTCATGTTGAGAAAGTGGAAAAATATTTGGATTTTTATCAAATTTCTTCAAGATAGGTACAGAAAGAATCAAAAGCTATGTTGATCATAGTACACGCAAGTACCTTTTCATAAAAGCTTTTCACTCAATAAGTTTTTCACCGTTATTTAATGTTTGCAACTTTTTGCCCTTCTCAGGATTGATTTTCTTTGTGTGTTGTCCTTTTAACTAGACCTTTCAAAAGAGTAATCCCCTCAGTTGCATCGGCCTTGTAGGAGTTTGAAAGACATATTAGCCCTTTTCTGTGTCATTTAAGAATAAGGAACAAGTTTTGTTGACCAGCTCGTTCCGAACAGCGATATTGATCGGAATGCATTCACCGGCTGCTTGCGACTCTACATACACGCACATTTCGGGGCTTTTTCTAAACATTCGTAGTCGTTTTTCGTCTGCACGTGATTGCTTTGTATAGATCGCGATTGTCGTGTACGGTATCTTTTCCTGTGTAGTTACTTGTGTTTGGGAATTTTTAAGCTTCTAAAAATCTCAATCGTTTTTTCATTTGTGTTATCTAGTAGAGAATGGTTTTTAGTTTTGTATATATACGTCTCCGTAAATCATGCTACCTACCAAAATGAAACGCTTCCAAATTAACAGCATCTTTCACAGATACGGCATGGTTAAATTGGAGGTTGGTGTACTGCAGGACTCCACAAAGTCAGCTAACACATCGGTATGTTTTTTCTTCAAAAAGACTCCTTCTTTTCTTCTTTCTGTTTTCTTTTGGTAATCATTTGAGCTCGGGCTCTGTAGATTCTTCACTAATAAGCTCAATGATTTGCAGTAATCGAACAGAATTTTGATGCTGCCCAAAATTGGCTGAAAGCGTGATTGCTAAACTGAGAATGGCTGCTGAAAATCCATTAAATGGGTTCCACTGCCACCCCAATCTTATGCATAGAAGGAGAATGTCCTTAATGTGACTTCACCTACACATTGCTCGAAGACTGTTCACCTTTGTGGCAGTACTTCATAGGGCTCGTTTTCTTCGTTCTTTCCTGGTTACAGCATTGAGAGCAAACATGTGTTTGAAAAAATGTTTGAGTTCCAGCTTGCTGCCTTCCCA